CGCGCCCGTGTGGGAGGGGGGGGGGGGGGATGTGCATGAACCTGAAAAAGCAGCTTCTGCCTTTTCACAACAAAACATCCCTCAGTCTGGGCGCTCCCAACGCCTGCGCCCCAAAAAGTGCAAGAACCCCACACACGTGGTGCCCCTGTCTCCTGGCACTGCCCCCCCAGCTCCGCACTCTGACAAGGTCACAGGGACTCAGTATGGTCTCCAGCATCTCCAGCCTCCTTGTCGGGGACAGAGCCTGACGCAGGCGCCTGGTGCTGGGACCAGTCAGCACAAGCTATGCTCTGCATAACAGGCCGTGTCCCAAACAGCTGTCTGCCTGCCAGCCTGTCGCTCGGCCCTAGAGCCACGCGCACTGCGAACAGCACGTGAAATACGTAAATCCAGGCCAACAGCCCCGTACATGATAAACCAGCTTGACAGACAGGCAGGGAGTGCTTGGCGGGAACGTGCAAGGGGAGGCACCCAACAGGTCACTAGCGTGCAAGAGGATACGCACGGCCCCTGTGCGTGCTGGGGTGCCTCGCTCACCTCTGGCCGGCCTGGGGGCGGTAGTGAAATCCATGCTATCGACTGAGCCTTGTCCGTCGTAATGGGTCCAACCCTGCAGGGGCGCGGAGGCCATTGGACTACCCACGACTATTGTGTTTTGTTCAACAATAAACCCCACTCGGGTGCCTTGGTCTTATCTGAGTCTGTGGCCTTTGGGGCTCTCGTGGAGTGTCGTGCTGGCGCGATACGCTGAGGGAGCCAGGGAAAGGCACGCAGCCGAACGTTTATCAGCGGACAGAGCAGGAGACCTGCCAGGATGCCGCACCGGTAAATCCTGAGTTTGACATCCCTACTGCACCCTTGGCTTCCCCCCACAGCACCCCACTGCCATGCCGCAGTTGGGCAGCATCTTGGGCGGGGGAGGGCCGGGCATTGGGTCTGGCCCACCACAGAATGGGTAGGGTCTCCCTTTCTCCTGGCCTGGCGCATCCTAGGCCTGTGCTGTGCTCAGACAGATTTGCAGGGGAGCCCTCCCCCCTCGGCTCAAACCGCCGGTGTGCACGGTCCTGCCATGCTGATCCCACCCATGAGCAGCAGACGCACTGGGGGGGGAGGGGCCTGATTCTCCACTGCACAGTCATTAACACAGTGCAAAGTGGGTGCAGAAACACCAACGCGCTTTGCAGGGCAGCAGGTAACCACACAAAGCAGCAACCCACGCAGCATGGGACCCGTCCAGGAAGGAGCCGCTTGGCAGCCGTCTCTCTTCTCACACTTGTCAGGGTGGTCGCGGACGCAGCCGGAGCAGCAAGATCAAGATCTGGGTTGGCTCACGGATGATACTTTTGGTTGTTTCTTGTGCTGTAAATGTCTGAGCCGCAGCTCCCTCTGCAGTAACCTAACCCCACCCGCTATCAGGCAGCGCAGCTACTTCCTGTGGCTCCCGGCGGTACAGGAGTCCGTTTAGATGCAATCAAAGCAACCGTGCTGGTCGTTCTGCTTCGTGACAGCATCACCACCTAGTGTTCAACGCCCCTGCAGCGCAACCGTGCAGGCTGGTCGAGAAGAGCCGTTACTTCCCCTCCCCCAGCACAGAGAAGCAGCAACCTAGTCCCTTTGCGCCATGGCACGAACTGGGACAGAGCCCAAAGCACCCCCCAAGGCCGACCTGATATGGCCATTCTGTTACTAGCCCTGGGGGTCCCCGGCCCGGCCACACTCCCCGGCTTTATTGTTAACTCGGCCCTGTCAAAGCAGGGAAAGTGAGCCAAGGAAATAATCTGCAGTCATTTTGTACCTGTGAGTCTAACACAAGTAAATCCTATTCCACCCTCTGCGTAGGACATGCAGCAGAGCACACGCAGGGCACCTCCCCGTGGCAATACGGAACAGATTTAAATATACTGGTTAAAACCCAGCTGAACCAACCTTCTGTTTAACCTAGGTCTGTACTTTAGAGATTGGTGCATCTGTCTGCAACTCCTGAACGGTAAGAGCCAGGCCCACCAAGTGTGGTACCCAGCGTCCTCGTCTCCTAACAGAAAGCAAGGTCAGGGCTGGCTGTGTCCAGACAACGGGATGTGCCTGGAATTCGATTGTTTTCCATAACCTGGAAAGGGGGGGGCTGAGCAAAGGGGTGCCACCCTCACAGTCGCCACTGGAGGCAGCGAGCACGGGGATAGCGATATGCAGTGGCCACTGGGGGCAGCGAGCACGGGGATAGCGATATGCAGTGGCCACTGGGGGCAGCGAGCACGGGGATAGCGCCTGTAACCGGCCCAGGTAAGTGGTCTTCCTGCCCTAAACCCCTCCACTCCCACCCTCAGCCCCAGCACTGGACCCGGAGGGTGGGGCCAGCCAGCCCCACCACCATGGATACCCCTCAGGAGCACCACCGGGGCTCAGCAGCGCAGCCCCGGCTCCCACCACAGGGGCCGCTGCCCCCTCCCCTCCCAGCCTGTGGGCCCCCTCTTCTCCTGGGCCGGGCCCGGGGAACACCATCAGGAGGCCTGCATGGGCCCCTGGGCCAGGGCCAGGCAATGCTGGGTAAGTCTCCTAGTCATGTATAAACTGTAACTACAACGCTATAAGAAAGCATCACAGACAGCGTCACAGCTCAAATACTTTATATCACTTCCATTTCTTCAATTCAGCCTATGGAAAGAGAGCCTGACGTTATACTAAGATGTGACTAGATTTCTAGTGGTTACTGCACCAACCCCTGAAACACAGCAGGACGGGGACTTTCCAAACCATGCCTACAGAGTAGGATCTAACTCAGTGGTGAAGACATGCAAGACACCCTCTCTTCAATAAGCCTATTACTTCATTACATCCATTTACCTATTTCCAGTGTGATCGTTTGTGCCGGTGGGACAGTAAGAGAAGCAGCTCTGTAGATTGCAACGCGTGCAACAGGTTTTGCTCAATAAAAGCATTTGGTCGTATGTACTTGTCACTCTGACGTCTTATGTCTGTTGGGAGTAAAGACGCAGAGGAGTTACACCACGGAAGGGGGGACACAGCAAATCATACATGTTTTCCTATCACAACAGTCCCACAGGGATTCCCTGCTGCACAGAACAGATCCATTTCCGGCGCTCTGCCTCAGTCACACGCTGCCACAAACGTTCTTGTTCCAGCTCCAGGGTAACAATGGCATTTCATTTTGTACGGGCAGTTAAACATCCTGAAGGTTAAGTCTACATATAAATGGAGATCGGAAGGAGCCCAGGTAAAGATGCCCATCGTGTTCGTGGACCTCACTAGCGTAAGTTACCACCATTGCATTGGGATCATGAAAGCTTCTTTTGTAGGATCCAGTTTCACTAAGTTCTAAGACAAGGCTGTACTTGGGCACAAACTTCATCACCGTTTCTTGACTTAACAGCTTAAAGAAAGAAAAAGACATCATTAAGCTGTCATAATTAGTTAACCATGAACTACGTAAACTGATCATGTATTTAAAAGCAATCAAGGATCATGCCAAGCCTTTGCAATAATTCGTGAGCTATGTCAGTCTTCAGATTTCAGGTGAGAACTGCAGAGCACTGAAAAGCCCACTTTAAAAGCTTGACTGGCAGAAAATTAACTTCAGTGCGGAGCTCTGGGACCAAGAATGACACTGGTGCATAAACACTGGTGCATAGTGTTCTCACTATCTCACAAGGAGTCCTGCAGCACCTTAGAGACTCAGATTTATTTGGGCATCAGCTTGTGTTGGCAAAACCCGCTTCAGCAGATGCACGGAGCAGAAGTTACAGAGGCCGGCATAACTAGACTGGCATAACCATAACAGAAGGGAGCCTCTTCATATGCCTGTGGATTTATGCCAGCCTCTAATGTCTACTCCATGCATCTGAAAGTGGGTCTTTGCCCAAGTAAGCTCCTGCCCAAATGAATCTGAGAGTCTGAGGTGCACAGGATGACTCCTTGGTTTTGCAGATACAGATGGACACGGTTCCCCCTCTGGAATTGACACAATTTCCTGAGATTATTGCCAGTGGCCAAAAATCAAACACATTTTGTTTCGCTCTCAACAGTGCTGCTTATTTCTGTGTGACATGGGCCCCAACCATGGCTTCTTCTAGAAAGACTCAGCACACCCAGAATTTTTTTTAACAAACATTCAAATGCCGCATGGCCACAGGGTGTTTAACTCAGCTGGCATTTCCATTTTAAGTGCTTCGTGTCAGTCAAGATTGACTAAAATTTTGTGCTGAAAATCTTTAAAAAAGAACGTTGGTTAAAATGTCTGAGGAACAAAAACTCAAAAATTAACATTTTGTCAGTCTTTTAATTTGATTTTCATACAGGTCAAATACCAACACCTCCTGTTGATGCACTAGTGAGGCTGAGAATTTGAGAATACAAAAGGATGATCAAACAATTTACTCAGAAGATTGCATTTCCATTTGTAAGTTGTGCACTTGCCATTAGTAAGAGCAAGCCTTAGCTCTGCTAACTATAAAAAGTGTCTTCAGGAGGTAGCCGAGTTCGTCTGTTACAGAAAAAAACCAACCAATGGTCTGGTAGCACTTTACAGACTAACAGAACATGGAGATGGGATCATAAGCTTTCGTGGGCACAGCTCACTTCTTCAGGTGACCAACACAGGAATTTTATCTATGGACTTTGACTTTTATCTGCTTCGGTTTAACTACCCAATCTTCAGATACTTACTGATTCCCTCTGCTCTCTGTCTCCCACCCCCTCCCTCCTGCCCTTCCCCTCTCCTATTTATTTTTGGGTTTATCCTAAACTCATAATTCCGATCATCTGAAGAAGCGGGCCATGCCCACGAAAGCTCACGATACCATCGACATGTCTGTAAAGTGCTACCAGACCATTCTGTTGGTTTTTTCTATAAAAAGTGTGAATGATACCTGCTACATCATTATGTGGCTTACCTGCAGCTTTAACCAGAGTACCATGAGATCTTTCGGTGAAAGAGACCCTACACAAAGTATTGGCTAGTAAACTGTTTCCCCCTTTATCTTAAATACACTTACCTTAAATATTATTCTTCTGATCCATGGTTTGTCAGATATGAAATCCACCATAGAAAACCCAGGATTGGGCCGAATAGTTGACATGGCTACCCAATATCCCCCAGAGCTGCTTAACCGGATATTATCTGGAAAGCCAGGCAAGTTTTCTACAAACATATCGGCGCCACCTTTCATCAATCCAGACACATAGTACCTGTAAAGATCACAACAGCCTCTTAACCTAAACAAAGTTCATACAACAAGCAATGGATTTCTTACTGCTAGCAGAATGCAGTACACTACTTTCCTCTCTCTGATAAGCCTCTCGGCCCCAGCTGATGGAAGGAAGAGATTATAAGGCAGATGACTCCAGTAAGGAAAAAACTGAGTGGAATAGAAGCTTTTCTCCTTGTCACTGAAAACTATAGCGAGGTAGATTTAATCTTTCTGAACCATGTTAGCTAACCCGTGTGGGGTAGACAGAGATCAAAGTAAAGCCAAGAGTCTGATTTGCACAGCTGCAATGTCACTGACACTAAGAGTTAACAGGACATATTCTGATCATTATTATAAAACCAGAGGAACTCCATAGAAGGCAATGGAGTTCCTCTGGTTTTATATGTCAGATATCTCTAGCATAGCAACAGAATTTGCCCCATATCATTTATATAAATTGTGGTAATTAAGCAATTAAACTCAATTTACCCATGCAAAACAAGACAAAGGTATGGTGCTACTGTGTCAAATCTACTATACGGATTATGGTAGAGGAAAAGATGTGGGGAGGCTGTATAGTGAAGAACTGACTCATGTTTTAGCCAACTAAATTCTAATCTCAACAGAAATAACGGTAAATCCGAAATGCGCCTCTTTGAATTTCAGCTGCCTGTGTAAGTAAAGCAGAGAGTCTGTGGCTAACGGAGTCAGGTTAAATACTCGGACACCTCAAAGATCTCCACCAAGCACTCTGAGCCATACATACCCGTTGTCCACCAGAGTCACAGGAGTTTTCACTTCAGTTCACATGACGATGAACAAGGCAAGAATATTAATCTCTTCTTTGTGCGGAAACGTCACATGGAACAGAGACCAAGCCCCGCTGACTGGAGGGGAGAGACACCTCGCTACTGTGTGTCCATCTAGCAGGGATGTTCTGCCGAGACCCATAGACTTTAAGGTCAGAAGGGACCATTATGTTCATCTAGTCTGACTCCCTGCACAGTACAGGCCACAGAATCTCACCCAGCCCTCCCAGAATAATCCTCTCACCTATATCTCAGATATTGAAGCCTTCAAATACTTTGAATACCCCAAGATGCAGAGATCCTCCAGCTGTGATCTGTGCCCCATGCTACAGAGGAAGGCGAAAAACCTCCAGGGCCTCTGCCAATCTACCCTAGAGGAAAATTCCTTCCCACCATTAACAGGCATTCACACTACAGAGAGCTACTCAAACCCTACCCTGTCCACCCAGGGAGACTGGGAAGTGCCCCCTTTGCTGTTTAACCCACCAGTGTTAAACAACGAGGAGTCCTGTGGCACCTTAGAGACTAACAGATTCATTCAAAGACCCACCTCGTCAGATGCATGTCAGTGCCAAGTGGGTCTTTGCCCACAGAGCTCATGCTCCAGTAAGTCTGTTGGTCTCTAAGGTGCCACAGGACTCCTCGTTGTTTATGCAGATTGAGACTAACATGGCTACCCTCTGATACTTGCCGCGGGTGTTGACAGCCTTCATGGGGATGGGCCAACAGCGGCAGGCACTGTTTTAACACCACCTCTTTCGATTTGCTCCGAGCAGGCCTAATGAATTGGTATGATGCACAGAACAGTGTTAGCAGGAAATGAACCATTTTCACTAACTTCCTTCCAGAACCCCGTGGACCAGGACCGGCAAAAGCTGTCCTGCAACTGCCGGACATTTTTCAAAAATATGTGTAATGTAGGCAGGGCCATTGCCCCCCCTAAAGGTGGGTTAAAAGCAAAGTGGGGGTGGCTGCCTAGGGAAAAGCAGGGACCAAGAAGAGAAGAGGCAACAACCCCCATGCACAGGGAGAAAGGCTTCGGCGAAGGTTTGTGTTGGGTTCCTGTGCTCCGAGTCACCAGCACAGCCAAACGGGGGTGATTCTGCATATGCCAGTGCAGTGTTTGTGCATTTGAGGTCAGGGCAGGGGTTCAGGCTATTCTCTGTGACCAAGAGGCACCCCCACGTCACAGTGACGGGAATCAAGTGCCTACAATTTGCCTTGATTACACGTGGTGGAGCTCTGCTTGAAATCACCGGGGTAACATGCGCTGTCACTCAGGGAAGTATTTGGCCCAAGATTTTCTTTACACAATCTAAGCACACAGCACAAATGTCCCGAGACAGGGCTCAGAGCGATGAACGTGGTATAAGAACCTACACGGAACTGAACCAAAACCAACACTGTAACTATAAAGCCATTTGACAGAGTAACGTCCCCCGTGCCCCAGGTGTCTCACTCACCTCCTTATTCTAGCCATGGTTGTTTCTGCTACCAACACAAAATCCTCAGCAGGAGAGAGCTGGACCCCGTTCGGAAACCTCAGTCCTACCATTAAGACTTTCACTTCTTTTGTCACCGTGTCATACTCAAGCAGGCTGAAAGACAGAACCTGGCACTTAGTGCAGTGGGATACGACCCTTTGCCAAGCATTTCCCTTCCTCGTATTCCGCAGCTTTTACATGTAAAGAATGAAATAAGCAGTGTACTCAGGGCACATGCCAGTTTACTTAAAAATGGCCTGGAGAGAAAGGCAG